CCCCCCCCCATAACACCGACGATATATGATGACATACTACGGGATACGGGATGACCGCTGACCGCTCTCAAAGATATCTCTCTCTGCTACAAGGGCCGTGTTCCAAAATTCATTGCCAATACTGAAAATCTATAGTTCACGTAACGTATATTATAGATTTCTAGTATTGGCAGTGAATTTTGGAACACGGCCAAGCATTGATCTTCTCTTGCGCTATTACGCATGCGCGAGATTTGTGATTTGTTCCTCCAATTCGCGACACCAGCGACACTGTCCTTTAGCGGGCAGTCTATATACCCTGTGCGTCTATGACTTGTCCCAGTCGAATTTCCCCCGCTGGGCTGGCTGAATTTTTTTCAGTGCAATGGTATTTGTCATCGACGAGTGAAGGAGTTCGATATATTGGGAGTTGCTTTCATTGATTCGCGTGTGTAAAAGTCTCTTTTTTTTCTTCCTTTTTATCGTGCCAGGGCTAGTCATTGTTGTGCATATGATTACGCGAATGGACGGATCGACGAGATGATTCAATGATGACGAGGAGAACGTTTTAAGTGCTAGAAGAGGAACAGCTTTAAACTGGGTGATATATATCTACTGCGACGAGATTCTAACCTTATTCGACGATAAGATGAAGTCGGGGAATACGGACAAACACAGAGGCACGATACTCTTAAAACCGGAGGAAAATGAACAGGTCTTTCAGCTGATAGGCAATCGATGCCAGGTAAGGCAACCATTTTTTTTTTCTTATTCTAAGGTTATGTTCCAAAACGTCTTCTCCGAGGAAAATTTTACACGATAGCCGGCGTGAAAAAATTTTGGTATAGCCATCGAACAAAATTTTCCTCAAAGACGATTTCTCAGAACATAACCTAGATAAAGAAATTAATATAACTTTCATGTGAAATGCGATTTAAATTCCCCGAGCTAGCAAGAGCCAGATAGTGCATAAGTTTCGAGAAAAATTAATTTTTCTTGATACTGAATAGTTGTGCACAGGATATAAATTTTCCTTGTGATATCGAGTATCTAAATAAAAAAAAATCTCACTTCAAGAGATTATACTTTTATTAAACCTCCTGTAGCCCTCCTAAAGAAGCGTAGACTAGAAGAATATTAGTATGATATCACTGAATTGAGAATTTTATAATTGTATTAACCAGCATTTTGACACATACATATTGATTTATTTAACATATATGTACGTAACGTTTTTCTCATACAGAATGATTTATTTGTATTTTTAGTGTTTAGCAGCTGGTGTTATACAACTATATTTGACGGAACCTCCTTTACACAGAGATTGGATTAAAAAAGGTACAGGTATTATAACTCTAATAAGAGACAACCCAAGACGCAGTTTCTTTTTGCGATTGTATTGCTTGCAAAGAAAAGTAATGTTGTGGGAACACGAAGTTTATAATTCAATGGAATATAAAGCGCCAATATCATATTTTCATACATTTGAGGCAGAAGATTGTATGGCTGCATTTAACTTTGCAAGTGAGACTGAAGCTATTACATTAAGGTATGTCAACAGAATACAAAAATGATTAAAAATGAAACGAATTGATTGAAACATCTAAAGGGAATACTTGATATATTTTTATAGGAACATACTTCTTGGTAAATTAAATGCTAAACGCCAGAGAAGACAAGAAAGAAAAGCGAAAGAAGTAGAACCTAGTGGCACTATATCCTGGAAAAATCAAACTAGTGTGTCAGCATTTACTGTTACATCAAGTTCACCGGGTAATTTATCGAATGGTGCACCTACAGTTGGTGTTAATAGAAGTGCTTCAAGTAGTTCAATGTACAAAACAAAGAAGAAAAGAAATGAACAAGATCTTAAACGCAAGTTAACAAAGGATGATATTGGTCTTCCTTCTAATTTCAGGTACAGTTTTAAGATTTATTTTGTTTCATTCTATTACCTAGAGACATATGTATATTATTTTAATCTCTTGTAGGCATGTGGCACACTTGGGGTGGGATGTAAATAATAAAGGTCTGGAATTAGATTCTGTAGATTCACAATTACAACAATTTTTCGATAATGCTGGTGTATCGGAACATGAACTCCAAGATAAAGGCACTCGAAAATTTATCTATGATTTTATTGAAAGGAATGGAGGTATGAGCGCAGTGCAAGAAGATATTCGGCCATTGGCTAATACAAAAAGTACTATTCAGCCTCCTGCATTGCCGCAAAGGCAGGAATATCCTCCACCTGTTCCAGCGCGAACAATACCTGTGAGTTTTATTCCGATATAAGCTATGTTAATTATTAAAATTTTATCAATTAACATTTTTTATTTTTTACTCTATATTATTTGGTATAAAATTAATAATGAAATAATAAGATATAATAAAACGAGTTTTTTAATAAAATAAATAAAATAAGTACAATTAATAATATATAGAATGTCTCAATTTTAATTGATACATTGAAATTTCTCCGAAACTATGCAAGATATCAAAATATATTTCCTTAGTGTTATATGGTTTTGAGAATATGGTTTTATTTAAAAAATTTATTTATATTCTTTCTTGTAATGAATTCATTAATTTATGATTTGATGTTCTAGAATGTCCTATTTTAATCCAAACGAGCGAATATCTTGAAAACTAAATGTTACGGACAAAAATGTCTTAGATAAAAATTAAAGAATTTTAAGAGAGACTTAACCATCGGCATATAGAATAGACTACTGATGGCAATGGAAGGGATAACCGCATGATCAGCAGTACTGCTGATTTTTTGCCAACCAATCAGGCTTTATTAGAAAGAGATGGAAATGACCTTATATTATCTGCCTCTCATTCTACTCGTGCAGTTATCCCTTCCACTGCCTTCACCAGTCCATTCTACATGTCGATGGACTTAACACAAATAATGGGTCTGTTCTTTATAGCTGAACTAGCACTAGTTCAGAGTTTATCTTCTTTTCTCCACATTGGAAGGAGAAAGATAAGCTCTGAAACTCTGAACTAGTGCAGTCAGTTCAGCTATAAAGAACAGACCCAATGTTTGTTTAATCTTGGGTAGAGAGATTAAGGTTATAAGCCATTTTAAAATTTTTTAATGCAAGCCATTTTTCATTACAGATTATTGTAGCTTATGTCAAAATGTTTTCAAAATAACATGATCAAACTTTTTTTTGTTAAGAAAATCTTGAATTATGAGCCATGAAAATTAATTTCGGAAAGCAATGTTATCATATATGAATAAATTTAGCATTAAAAACGGTATTTAATTTTTATTATTATTATAAAAAATTAGATATTCTCAAAATCATTAAATAATAACGGTAGTATTTAGAAAAATAGAACATTTTTGAAAAATCTAAGTGATTTTTTTTGTAAAAAGCAATATGATAAAATTTTTATTGAAACCGTTTTTTTGTATAAGATTTTGACAATATTGAAGTGAAATGTACCAAATTATTTTTGAGACATCGTTTTAGTCTCTAAATATGTAAAAAAGCATTTCTAAAAACATGTATCTTTTATTTTTGAATTACTTTATAACATATCCGAAACTTATCAAAGTCGGAGTAAAACATATATGTTCTTTTTGTTAGCGTATATCAATATATTATTTAATGTATATCTCAATAAAAATATTATTTATATATGTATTTCAGCATCAAACACGCAGTGCTCCACCTTTACCTCCAAATCGTCTTAGCGTATCTTCTCCATCACCAAGTGTGCCATCTAGTTTATCTCTGAATACATCTCCGAACGCTTTGTCTAATATCCCATCAATACATAGAACCTTACCATCGAGACCACCACCACCCAATATAACTATAGCACCGACTCTTCCACCACCTCCGCCTCCGCCTCCACCCACTCCTCCCTCTAGAACCAATTCGAATATTTCCATGCCACCTCCACCACCACCTTTACCGGATACAAGTAACACCAACAGCATAACAATTAACACAAACGCTACTAATAACAACAATGAAGAGTCAATCACTGATCTTAGACCAATGCTTATGGAATCTATTAGAAGCGGTACAACATTAAGGGTATGTATGCTCATAGAAGTGAATGATCTTGTTATTGGAAAAAAATCAGTTTGTATATTCAAATTTATTCTTTTTTTTTTTTTTTTTAGAATTTTAAACTAAATTGAATATATTATAGTCATGTAGAAAAAAATCAACTGTCGGTTGTGTCAGAGTTTTAGATTTTTGTTGCAAAATTGCTGAATATGTTTAATGTTGTGCGTCATTAATCAACTTTATCAGATAAATTTTAATAAATAATTATTTTATTTTCAGTTTAATACCAAAATTAATTATAAATAATGAATTTTTTAATATTATAAAATATTCGAACATAGATTTCTATTGGAAATTAAAAGAATTAGAGTATTATCATATTTTTGCTCTCTCTTTCTCTCTCTCTCTCTCTCTCTCTCTCTCTCTCTCTCTCTCTCTCTCTTTCTTTTGTATATTTTTTACATTTTAAAGAAATATTATATTTTAAAATATTGTGTATTAAAAGAGGAATAGAATAACGATGTAAAATATAAAAAAATTAGAATTATATTTCTCTCAAGTTGTTGAATGGAAAAGAAAAGCATTAATGTTTTTAAATATATAATAATATTTTTTAGATATATAAATATAGTAGAGAGTATAGTAGAGAAAAAGAGAGGGAAACACAAGCAAAGGGAAAAGAGAGAATTGGAAAAGGGTACAACGTATATAGAATTGGAGAGGAAAAAAGTTTCTAAATATAGTTTTAACAAATATATAAAATTTTTATTTTTTCTCTTAAATTAATTTCGTAAAAATTGAAAATAGAGATAAAAAGACTTCAATTGTAGTTTTAGTTCTGTGGTATAAAAAACACATTGTCAGTTTAATAAATATTTTATTTTTTAGAAAGTTAATAAGATGGAAACAAAACCAGCATTGATTCAAGAGGATTCAAGAGGGGAGCTGCTTCGACAAATACGAGAGGGCATTGAATTGAAACCTGTTCCAAATGAAGTAAAAGCAAATACGGAACCTCGTGGTGGCCTGGCTGGTGCGTTATCCAGGGCTCTAGCTGAACGATCTCGTGCAATTCATAGTGAAAGTGAAGAATCGACTAGTGATACCACTGATGATGATGAATGGGATGACTAGATCATAGGTTAGTAAGCAAATTTTTTGTTTATACATTTTAGTTATATGAAAATCTTATTTGTTCTATTTCGTATTATATATTGTATTTATTTTGTTTATTAAAGGCAATAATGTTTCAGATAAAAATATAATTAATAGACTACAATAAAATAAACTACTGTGATAAACATATTATCGATAAAAAAATTAACAAAGTTAACTATAAATATATAATATAAATAACTTTGAATTTTCATGTATAAAGAAGAAAGTGTAAATCAGATAAAAATATTTAAAAGAAGCAACTCTTATATAGATACATGATTGAAAATAAAGGCTGTACAGCCTAAAGCAGGTAAGGGCAGATTATAATATGTATTAGAATTAACATTTTACAAAAGAGAGAGAAGAGAAGAGATTATAATATGACATAAATGTCAGTAACTTTTCTTTCTTTAATACTATTATGATTGTAATTATTTTTTAATTAAATAGATATATCTGAAATATTTCTTCATAAAAAATTACTTTATTTTAAAATATCTATACAGCGTACAATCTATAAATTCCAATTTAAAATTATCCTTTCTTTAAAGATATTTCACAAAATCAATTAAGTTTTTTTTAATAAAATAATATATTTATGTCAAAAGTAAATATTCTGTTTTATTATAAATTTAATAATATTGTAAGCAAATATAATTTTAATTATTTATTTATAAGATAGTAACATTATTCTTTTGGGAGGATTCTGTTAATATCCCGATTAGATATAAGCATATCGACCGGTGCTTAGGGATTTTCGATAAATTGCCCGCGCGCGATTCATCAATCGGTTTCATGTCATGATCAATTTTATATCTAATATCTCGAGACATAGGCAAGGAAGCATCACTCTTTTTTATGTAAACTAAACGGCAGAATGATAATTATATGATGATAATCATGTTAAAAATTAATATATATATATATATATATATATATATTTTTTTTTGTTTAGTAAAATATTTATTAAAAATGACTTTATTTGAAACTTAAAATAAAAGTTTGATAAATATTTTTATATATGAAATGGTGCATGTTCTTTTCTGTTTTATTAGAAAAATAAATAAATAGATATATCACATAAATGAATAATCACTATATCATTTATATTACTATTTTTAAATTTATTATAAATAATACTATGAGAAAATATGATATCCTATGTAGATAAATAGATAGATAGATGTTCATTGATCCCTGACCTGGTTACATTACGGTGATGACTTCCATTTCTAGATATTAACACTAAATAAAGAGTTGATAAAGCTCTGAAGTTAAAAACATATTTAAATTCTCTGGACTAATAATAACAGCCAAACACAAGTGATAGTGCGTCAGTTTCAAAGAAAATTAATTTTTCTGGATTAAGCAATGTACTTGCAAAACAATATATAGAAATATTATGAGAGGGTGAAGAGAAAGGGAAAAAAGGAGAGGAGAAAAAAAGAGAATAGTCGCAACACTTACAAAACTATCCGTTCGCAAAAAAAAAAAAAAAAAAGTAATAATAAAGTTTTCGCCGTGATTGCACTGTCTATATAATCCATAAAATTCGAGTAAATTCGTGAATTAGTTACTGTTACATGATGAAAAATTGTAACATCATAAAGAATAAAATAAGTTTTAAGTAATTTTTACACATTACATGAAAAGAGATCCACTTTTTCACTGAAAGTTTTTGCACTGAGAAACAAACCCATACAAGTATAGATCTCGTTTCGGATACCGAAAGTATCGAGCAATGTGAAGTATGGATTTCCCTATATATATATCAAGTGCACATATAATTTTTAAACAAAATTAAGATGCTTATCATCTATTGATGAATAGTAACATGTAGTTTTATTGTCAAGAACAATAAATGATTAATTAATTTTATTTATTGTATGTTTTATTTTGATAATCAATTTATTTTAATAATTTTAGTTTATTTTAAATTGTGCTGTTCTCTTAAATACATATATTTTATTGTTATATGATGTAGATATCGAATATGGAAATTCAACAGCAAGAGAAGTCATCAGAAGAACAATGCAAGGCATAAAATATATAGTTTTGCCACTATGGAGAAATCCTAGTCAGAAAAAAAAATAATATAACATATTAATTATTATATATTTTATTATATTTTATACAATTTCATCTCCAAACTATATCTATTATCCAAACTGGATCCATATGTTTCCTTTCATATTTACATTGTTTGACTAGTATATATATTTAGTATGTATATCATTTATAAACTTAAAATCCTAATAGTATTATCATTATTATTATATCCAAATAAATAGAAAAAATTTATACTCATTTGTAACAATAATATAAAACAGTAAGATATTCAAGCTCATGTTTGTTGATAAATAAATATAACGAGAATATAAAATTGCAAAAGAATTTCAATTTGCATATGCTTGGATAAAGAATGCAAATAATAAAGCATTTGAAGATGTAACAAACATATTATTTACATATATGGCCAATAGTGCATTTTTTTATGAGTTACAATGCATGACATATAATACTTATGGACAATCTTTATTTTATGTTTCTATATGAAATAATAGTAACAATGTGTTTGTAAAATATTTTAAATATTATTATATATAAACATTTTACAGAATATAGATTTTTTGATCATTTTCAATTATATTTTTCTAATAAAAACTTCCAGTAAAAAAAATTAAAAATATCTTATGAATTAAATAGAAATAGAACATAGAAATTTATTAAAATTTATTAAAAATCTGTTAGAATTTATTTTATTTGTATTTTTGTTCATGATTTTTAATCATCCATAAAATTAAAAAACTGAAATTAACTGTCGTCAAATCAAGTTTTTGTTATGGAAAAATCAATTTCAAGTAGATCAAAAAATATATATCTGCAGATTTTGGCGTAGTATTTTTGTAATGTTCTGTATAATTTTGTTCATTAATTTCGAAATAATTTTTATTTATGATATTACACACGCACATAAATTCAAAACAAATATTTTGAACATAAAACTAATATATTTGAAAACAATATTTCTTAAGATTTTTATAGAATTGGCATAATTCTAAATTGATTGAGACAAGAGAGCTTGAACATTTATAATACATATAATAAAATGAATAGTATAGATACATTTTAGATATAGATCAGGGTCCGAAATAATACAAATACCCAGCTTGGCAAATAATGACTCTCAATGATTTTGTTACTCCTAATATGACAACAAAATTAATAAATAATTTGTTCTTTTTGCATAAAATACATTGAATTTTTATAGAATTTAGGAGAAAAAATAACAAATTCGATATTTTACAAGAAAATACAAAATGTAATGAGACTTTGTAAAACTATTTTTATATATGTTGATGGAATTTTTACAGATACACGCACTTCTTTTTCTCCTGCCGATCCTTAAACTATGATATACAATTGAAATTATACAAATAATATTACATATATATTAAAATAATTTTTATTGTTTATTTAATAATTTTATACTTATATATATTTTTATATATATTTTAT